CAGCGCAGAACTTAAGGCCGATTCCGCAGATATGTGAGTCTTTTCTATATTTACGAAAAAGCCGTAGTTGCCATCGATGGACATGTGCGCCCGTCTTTGTAGAGTCCCAATCGACTAGCTAGAACAGAGTGGCTGTAGCAATGCCACGTGTAATGAAAATTGAATACACGTCCGCCATTTTCTTTATAGTCAAGGGGCGTGCCATTTGTGTACTGTAAAAGTAATGAGCTAGAATATTCTAATTCGTTGTGTAAAGGAGTGCAAAGGAAAGGAAGTGTTTTAATTTTTAACTGCTATGATATGGATCAAAATGATTTTATTTAGATTATTTTTAATTTTGGAAGTAAATAATAAGACAGTTCTTTGTTTAACCTTTTATTTAAATATTTCGAAACAAAAGAAAAAAATTTTGTTGAGATAGGTTAATTAAATGTATTTCTAAACAGTCTTAATTTTTTTAAGTTGCTAGTTTTAAAATATGGTAATGTATTTAAGTTTTTTTTTAAAGAAAACTGGGTTAACAATGCTTAATTAACATATTTAATGAAATTAGTTCTAGGCATTTATGTAAAATGTTAGTTCATGTTAATTAAATCTTTGCCATTCAGAAAGACATGCGTCATTCTGGATGGCAAAGATAAATTAACTTGAACTATTCTTATGTCACGCGTAATTTGTACACACCCCCTAACAGTCCAGTTTCTACATACGGACAAAGAAAATATGAATCGCTAATTCAGCGGCTCGTTGGTCTAGCGGTATAATTCTCACTTAGGGTGCGAGATGTCCCTGGTTCACTTCCCGGATGAGCCCTTTTCTTTTTGATGTCTGCATTTAATGGAATGTTTTCTTTGTCCCTTTTTGATAAGCAACACTTTTTCCATTTCCTACAATTATTAATCCTTATTACGTCTTAAAAGGATTTGAATTACAACAATTTGGTTCATCATCACTTGACAAAGTCAAAATGTAGTTTTTCATTACTAATGTAAAAGTTGTATGTCTGTTTGAATTCCTTATAACTCCTGCAATTTTTGTCCAATCCAGATGAAATTATGTTTATTTGAGATAAAACGTTTATTTAAGATAAAACGTTTTATTTGAGATAAAACGTTTATTTGAGATGAAACGTTTCAAACGTTTCATCTCAAATAAACGTTTCATCTCAAACGTTTCTAAAACGTTTATATTTGTTTTAACTTCTGATGTGAAGTATAGGATACTTATTTTGCGAAAATATTAGCTATAGAATAAACGTTTTATCGATTTCGTATTGATAATCGCACTTACGTTGCAGTGACGTTCATGCTTGAGGAGGAAATGGTTCTGAAGTTATATTTTTAAATATTTTGACAAATGGCGTATTTTAAACTTACTTCATTAAATTTAAACTTTAAACTTAAAAAATGTTAGCCGCATCTTGTCACTTCTATAACGAATTAAAAAGAAAAAAAGCTTTCCATAATGACCACGGGATGTTCTATTATCGAACCGGGAGTAACGATCTAACGTGTCCGTTATTTAGAAACTGTTATCGCTCATTTAATTAACGTACTGTACGTAGAATTTATCTTTGTTTTATCAACGTGGAATTAAAAAGACTTCGCTATTGTCGGAAAAAAATGCTTAGGAAAGGCGTAAGAGTAAAATTGGTCAGGCAAATTCTAAATCTAAAAGAATAACTGAGACCCCGAAGGATTTGAAGTCCGACTTGAGCAACATCGAGTAAGAATGGTTTTGTCAAGGGCTGCAGCAAAAGCATCACAACGTCAAGTTCAACTTGAAGCTCTTCTCAATTCTTTAATTTCTACTTTCTCATAAAAATATTCCGTCATGCATGACGAGAGAATTTCTAGTTCTGTATATAAATACAATATATGCAGTAGATATATTATGCATGTGCCCATTTTGGATGTTCTTGTGAACTAGGACTTGTTATACCCTCAGTATAACAAGTCCTAGTTTACAAGAACGACTAAAGTGTACACAAGCATAATGTAAGTAATTAAGGACAAGAAGTATGTATCGACATTACTTATATGTGTATATAATGTGTTACATTTATAACACATTAAATACGATTCTTTCTATCTTAGCACATATTACACATTACACATATATACATATGTGTATAATGTGTAATATAAATTACTTTTATATACATATGTGTATATAAAATTAATTTAAATATAGATACTTAAATTAATACGTTCGTGATCATCTCTTTCTTTATTTAAATTTTCCTTTGGTTCCCTCAACAATTAAAACAATGGTGTAAGTAACGCTTCAAGATTAACGGTACGGGAATAAAGGCCCGTTTACAATGAAAATTAAGCCTGAACATAAAACTTTGTTATTTAATGCAACCGTTCACAATCAGTTACTTAAGTTTAATCTTAAACTTAGAGGACGTTTCTAAACTCTACGGTATCGCCACAATTTGAGATGAAACGTTTCTAATCATCTCTGTTAGCAACAGGAAATGCGTAAGTCACGTAACCGTCGAGCCCTGTAGCTTCACCGATCTCTTAAAGTCTGGTGATTACCGGAAGAAAATTTAAACTTCAAGATGGCAGCCACAACAGAAGAGTCCGAAGTTCTTTTTATACATGAAGATCTTAAATTCGCTTTAGGTGTGGATAAAGAGATCGCAGTTCTTATAGTACTTACTTTAAGTGTACACCGGTTCAGTCTAAAGTGGCTTTTGAAAAGAAACATCAATATAGCGTGGTATAACTTCTTTAACAATTCCTTCTATCTTAGCACACTTTGTACCTTTGTTTCTTTCCCCTTCTATTACTTTTAGAATTAACAATTTTTCTTCCATATTTGAAGTAAAACATTTTTGTAGACAAAAACGATTCGCATAAGGACTAAACACACACACAACATCGGCCATTATTCAGCAGCATAGAAACACATGTCAGTTTTTCCGTTGTGTCAAGTATCGCTACAGGAAAGATGCCATTACAGTAATTCATTTTGTTCGTTTTTGTTTCTTTACCTTTAATGACATTATTGTATTTGAATTTCTTAAAATTACTTTGAGATCGAACGAGAAAAATTGAATTTATAGTTACGACATTTTAAGAACTTTCTATAATTTTCTAATTTTGTTATATTTTAATGGATTTATTTTGGATAAAATGAGGAATGAGCTTAGTTAAAATGAATCTCTTGAATTCTCCTATGACATTACTAATTTTTGTAAATAAATATTTGCCAGTGGTAAAATTAAAAAAATAAGAAAAACTGTTTTAAATTTTTGACAGACATTATAATTAAAGAAAATACTTTGCTAATCGTAAATAAGAAGTTGATTTCTCACCGTAGAAGATAAAAACGTTATAACGTAGGGGAATTTTAACCTATTAAAAGAAATTAAAAAAAAAAAAACCTATTTGAAAATGTGTTAAATACTCTAGCAACGAGTTACTTATGTTACTTTTCTGGCAATAAAGTTTAAAATGTGCATGACTTCATCTGTTATGAGATTTTATTAAAAACGTTTCATATTATTAATTACTAGCAGACCCCGCCACGCGTTGTGGCTCAAAATGTATCTATTATAAATGTATAACACTTCCCCCGTGGGGGGAAATTTTTCGAAAAATTTCTTCTTAGTGTACATTCTCTTGACATACCCTATTAAAACACAATAAAAAACGCAAAAAACCGCATCTAAAATAGTATAAATAGAAGCAGAGTTCTTTACGGTAAGCCTTAATCCTAACCATCTTCCTTCAGTGGGGGAATTTCGACATGTATATTTATATAAAAACACGTGCGTATTCGAATGCAGCATTGTGCCAAAATTTCAAAGGAAACGGTAGGAACAAACGAACATTACATTTTTATTTATGTAGATAGATAGAAAATGATCTGCTTTAGTTCATTTTCACAGAAAAGCATAATGCCTCACAGAAAAGCAAACTTCGGGCGTCGGACTCGTAGCGCCATCTGTTGGACATAAAAGCCTTAACCTAGATTATATCTTTTAATTTATATGAATGTTTAATGGAATAATATACAGCCTATGTCCACCCTGAAGTTCCATTCTAAATATTGGTGAAAGAATTTTTGAAATCGGATGAGTAGTTTCGGAGATTACCCGCTACATCCGAACTTACAAACATTACCTCTTTATAATATTAGTATAGATTACGAAACGGAAAACGCTCAATTTTGAGGATAGAGATGACTTTCTTAAGAACGTTGTAAATACAGAAGTAAATCGTTATTAAGTTTGTCCTCTTTTGAGATATGACACACGATTTCCCCTTATCTCTCCATTCTTCGATCTTTAACCACCAAAATTTAATAACATCAATCCTACTAATACCCAATCCTCCCTGCGAAATTTAAGAAATTTTCGATAAAATGTCCCAGAGTTATTAAGCATCAGAACAGATGAGCAAATTCGTGCCTCCTACATACTTACTAACATCCATACATACAGGGAAAATACCTCCAACTTTTTTTTGCGTTTCTCGATGTTAAAGATCCCGAGTCCAAAAATGTAAATATCTTAGAGGATCATTTTTTGACCGATCGCCATGCTTTCTCTCGTACAAATTCGTTTGAAACAAGCAGTTATGTAAACCTGTTTGTGAGAGTTACTTCTACAGCCGAGTAATTAGAAAACTGCAAAAACGCATTCAAGTCCAAATTATAAAAACAAAATTCAACTCTTAATAGATGAAATAAATTACCACGAAACCGATGTATAATCAATGATACAATATATAATTTATTTGTAATAGGTCTGTTTATTGGAAGATTCATAGATTCGTAAATTTTTCCGATAATTTGATACAACAAAAATTACAATCACAATTTAGTCTGCGCAATTCCTTCGTTCTAGAGATAACTACAACTATGAAAACAAAGATGAAAAAATTACTTTTAAATTCAATATTTGACGTACGTGAACTTTATGCTGTAAATACAGAATCCGTTAGAGTCTCGCTTAGTTGAAATGAGAGGTAAACATAGTACACCTATATAAAACTTTTGTCGTTATCGGAGGGTATGTTTTTCTTCAATGCATTGTTCAAGCGCAGCCAAAAAAGCCGAGCGGAATCTTCGGAGTTGTGCCACTCGATGTAGTTTATGGTTTTCATCAGGTAGCGCAGCTTCTTGCTGATGATGTCATCAGGAATGGAGCCATATTTGAGCAATATCAGAGAATTGTTTGTTTCGAACAGCCGGTGCTGCGCCAGTTGCATCTCGAATTTGCAAAACTCGCTGCGTACGAAGTTTTCGGAAAGGACAAGAATCACTTTTCTGGAATTATCGATGCTGCGTACAATGTTGTCAGTAATTAAATTTCCGAGCAGGAAGTCCCTCTCGTCTATGCACACGCGCAGGCCGAAGTCGTTTTCTATCTTGTCCAGAAGTTTCTTGGCAAATTCTCTATCCTTAGAGCTGTATGAAATGAAGACGTCATATAAATAACTGTCGAAATTCTTTGTCTCTTCGTAATTAGAAATTTTCAAGCGAACGTAGAACACGAAATATCTGATATACCAGCGATATCTGTAGCCCATGGACGAAAACAAGAAGAGGAAAAATGTTAACACGAGCAAAGGAATACCCACGCAAACGAAATAGTTAATGGGAAGGACAATGCATAAATCCTGTTGATAGGTGGCATTTATCAATAAGATTCGATTCTGATTTTCTTTCGTAAAACGGCAAACGTATCTGTCGTAGTCCAAATTGGGGGTGTTATTTCGCACCCAATGGATCATCAGAGGCAAAAGACAAGAATTGCAATCGAAAGGATTCCCGTCCAACTGCACTCTCCGTACATGTTTCACGTCACGGATCATCGACGATTCCAACACGGAAATCAAATTGCCGATAAGACTTAAATTTCGTAGATTCGGTAAACCACTGAAGGTGTCAGATTTCCAGAAAGTCAGTTTGTTATGACTCAGATCGATGTGTTGTAATTGGTTTAAATTTCGAAAAATACCGACCGGAAGTTGTTGTATCTGATTTCTGGAAAGAGCCAAAACACTCAGTTTAGAGAGAGAGAAAAATAGATACTCTCCAACGGACTCTATGCGGTTGTTGTTCAAAATCAAAATACTTAAGTTCTTCAAATCCTGGAAGGTTTTAACGTCTAAGTCTATAATGGAATTCGAGGACAAGATCAAGGTAGTTAGTCCGGTCAATCCTCGAAAAGCTCCGGAATAGATCCTTCCGATTTTGCAATTTTTCAGTTTCAGAATGAAGGGGTAAAAATGAGCGAAGGAATCGTCCGGAAGATACTGAAGGGGCGTTCCTTCCATGTTTAGAACAGACTTCAAGCGAGTTGCTGAAGAAACGTATTTGAGTCTTAAAACAAAGAAATTACCGGGAGGTGATATGAAGTCAAAATTCAAGAGGAAGAGACGAGATAAAAAAAAGATAGCCGATGGAAAACCCAAAAGGGGGTTACCCGTTAAGTCTAACTGCTCCAAGTTGGGAAGGGTGCAGAAGGCCCGAGACTCGATATAACGGATTTCATTATAAGGAAAACGCAAGATGCGCAATTTTGGAAAATAGGGAAAGTTACCGTAACTTAAAGAAGTGAACCCGCAGGATAAACAGCTGAGATTACGGACGTCGATACCATTGAAGATTTTGGGGACAGGTAAAGGTAACATCTGCACGTCTTTGCTGAATGTGAAAGTAGCTTCTTTAACTGTTGCCAGCAATAGGTAAGGCTTCAACACTTTCATCCATAGAGTAACCGAACGTTCTGTTTCAGAACCATTGAGTGTCTGTAATAACACAGAAAAGTCTATGACGACTTCGTGCGGACAGGGGACCGCCTTTTGGCTCAATTCCGACAGATCGAGAGAGAGAGAAACGAGGTGGGCGAACACCCTCGACGTGTAATTCGAAAAAGATACCTTAATGTCGTATTCTTTCAGCTGTCCTTTCGTTATCATTTCTAAGCATAAAGGCTTGCTGTTCAAAGGTGGTCGTAAATTGGAGACGTTCCTTTCGCTCTTTAATCGCACGAAGTAAAGATACAGGGGGTATTCTTCTTTGCAGCGCCTCCACTCTTCCGGAAGCGACTGAAAGACGAGAAAAACGGTGTACCATTTGGTGCTGGTATCAAATATCGATATGGAACTGAAATAATAATGATAGTATAAAGTGCAGTTAACTTGAACGATTCCATCTTTCTTCTTCAGCCATTGGCATGTTTTCAGTCTGTACTCGGCGGACATGATGTCAAAGGAATGGCATAAATCTTCCGAACCATCCTTCCAGGCCGTTTCTTGCAAGCTCCACGGTAACGTCATCAGGACGATCTAAAAAACGAGAACAAATGAATTATAACGACTCAAAATTTTCCTACCCTACGCCATCTTGGAAAAGGTAAGATTCTGCAAAACTTTATCGAAACGTCTACATATTTTGCTATATATTTTACGTGGAGGGTTTTTATATTTTTCGAATTTTTCAAATGTAAATGCACGAAAAAAATTGCGTAGGTACGAAATAAAATAAAATTTCATTTCTGCAGTTTCTTTCGCACATTTAACTTTGAAAGATTTGAAAAATATAAAAGCACTCTTTATAACATATGTAGCAAAGTTAAATAAATAAGCAAATAAATCGCAGCGTTAGATGATAATCTTCAACACAGTGTACAGGTGTATTTTTAAAATATTTTTTTTTTTTGCGATTTCAAAACGTCGTTGATGGAAGTCAATTGCCGCATTTTCAGCCAAATTTTAATTACAAATTATGCAATTGCAATATAAATAACAAAGCTTTTATTTTATAATTAATCGTAATTTAACTCATTATTCTCTGAGGTTATACATAATGGAAATTTTAACATCGAGCTCGCTCTTTTTTTCTGAAAAATACAAAAAATCGAATATTAATAAAATGTTATATTTGGTTTATTACAAACAAAAAATTTACAGTATTATATTAATAAACATTGTATACAGAATTGTCAATAATGTATTATTCTACATAATACAGGAACAAAAATTATAATTAGCTAAAAAGAAAACATCAGAAAGATAATTTAAAAAAACTAATATTTAATTATAAAACAACCCTATGCCAAAAGCTAGCACAAACGCTATTAGGAAGGATATTTCATGTTTTTTGATCTTCTAAGAAGATCCATAGCCGAACGATGATTTTTCAGAAAATATTTAACATAATTATCAAAATTAAATTCATTCAAGGGTTTCCTATTTAAACAGATTGTAATCAAGTCAGAAATGTGTTTTACGGCCAGAGAGCTTTTGTTGTAACAATGTTTATTGACCTAAAGACTCGTTCACGCTGCTAACCTCGATTGTTTCCACAATTATCCTGGCTTTTTCAAGGTGCTGGGAATTTCGTTTTATAACTTTTCAGTCTACTTCTACCAAATCTCTAAAATCGTTGATTATAATTTCACACTTCAAAATAAAATTTAAAGTTCGTATTTTCTTTTATCCTTCTTGCCACGGGGACGTGACTTATTCCACATTCCGTATTTCGAGATAACAAATAGTTCATTAGAAATGTTTTTCAGTTCTTCTTCAGTGTTTACAATTTTCATATATAAGTTTAGAATTACTGTACTTTGCCACATTAACCTATTCATTAAATATATCACAGTAGTTTTTCTCGCCATACTTTGTTAAATTTGACTGGGCTGTAATTGGAAAAAATTATAGACCTATAAATTCCCACTGTCGTCCGTCCGTGTGTCGTTTCTTAATATCGAGAATTAGTTAGATAGATGTAAGGCGAGACCATATATAGAAAGCTTAAATGTAGAAGGACTCGATTAACACTATACGAACTTCCGATGCAAACCTTGCTTCGGGTTATTTCAATTTAAACATTTTTCCCTGAAAGGAGTTAGATAGAAGACTGGCATGACTCTGTGGCTAACAGGAAAAGTACGATGTACAGGGGATTGCTAACGGAGGAAAGTATTATGTACAAGGGCATGATACTACCAGAGTCAATAAATTATCTGGTCTCTGAATGTCTATTATTCTCACCCATAAAAGTAGAGGTAATAAACAAGTTTGCCGATAGGTGTGCTAAAATCGTTTTTGCTCTTGGTTTGTTTTTATTCTATAAAGAAAAGCTCTGTATCCGTGTAAAATAAATGTTATAATATTGGTAACTGTTTAAGCAACTATATTTTATAGAGCTAATCTCCATATAAATATTCTTATTTAATAAAAATTTGCTTAAAATAAATGAATAAAAACTAATACATAAAATGCATAAAAATTAATTTTACATAAGCTTTTGTTTTATATAGTAAGGTTATAAAAAGCAACAGATAAATTCAGTTTATCTAAATAATTTCGAAGTTAACAAAATTTTCATTAAATAAGCCAGATAAGTAAATAATACGCATTTAAAAAAAATATACTGTACAGTAGTTATTTAAATTACTTTAAAGTTTTTAAATTATTAAGTTCATATTAATTTAAAGTCATTTATTAAATAAAAATGTTGAGAACTTAAAAATTAAAATTTTATCATAATCTTTTATGAATTATTTAGTTGTTATAAATTACACTCGAGCTATAAGTGCAGTTAACTTGAACGATTCCATCTTTCTTCTTCAGCCATTGGCATGTTTTCAGTCTGTACTCGGCGGACATGATGTCAAAGGAATGGCATAAATCTTCCGAACCATCCTTCCAGGCCGTTTCTTGCAAGCTCCACGGTAACGTCATCAGGACGATCTAAAAAACGAGAACAAATGAATTATAACGACTCAAAATTTTCCNAATTATTTAGTTGTTATAAATTACACTCGAGCTATATAAAGTTTTTTATTGTACAGTAGATAATTAACATCTAAAAATTTTAAGCATTATTATGTATACATAACATTTCATTGAATATAAATTGATACTTATTAAAAATATATATATTCTGTTTATGGTAAGATTGAACACTTTAGTTGCATCAAACAAATTAAATGTGATGAAGATGGATTTAGATCATTCTTCATTTTTGATTTGATAAACATTTTCAAAGCTAAAGTGAATAACTGCATTAAAACAATTTCAGGTTTTATATGTCTTACATGTGTTTTGCATAAACTTTATTATAAAAGTTTTAATACAATCTGTATTAGGATTAACATCTTTAAAATTGTTATTTACATTTTTTTACTATTGAACACTGTGTTCAATAGTAAATAAATACGAAAACACGGTTTCAAAAAACGAATCAATTTACATTTTTGTAATATAATTTTTCAATTCACAGAAAGCCTTTGTAAAATATGAAATATTCAAAATTCTGTTTTACATTTATGAATTTCTACATATTTTATTGACACTTTAAAAAACTAATAAAAAAATAAACAATAGACAAAAACATTCAATAAAGTTGACAAAAATGGCTAAAACCATGACTTTCTCTTACTACACCTATTCCAAACTTGAAAGTTTATTAGTAAAGCAAAATCAGGAACGACATGACAGAAAAAATTGTAGAAAGTATGTTAAAAAGGAAAATTAAATTATTGAAGTAGAAAAATATCTCACTTTATACAATCCTAAAGAAAAGGATTATAAAAATGTTGATACAATCAAGTATCAACATTAATGTGACCGTATAAACCAGGGAAGTCCAATCCGCCGACCACTGCATCCTAAATTTTCTAGGTACATTTTCATTTATTTTCGTAAAGAATGTTGTTAAAAATTATTCTCGTTTCACTTGATACAAGTTGATGTCGTAATAATGTAATTGGTGCTAGAAAACTGTACTAGCCCACATGCATAACATACTGTTGTAAACAATTCTTTTTGCGCATGAAAAACATGAAAACTGTTGAAAAAATAGGTTGAGTGATTCCCATTTAACTAATATTCTTAGAACTAAGACTAGTACCATAAATGCAGATATTCACAATATTATAAAAGGAAGGAAGTATTAGAAATCAAATTGAATTTATTTTTTTTTTTGTACGAGTATAATTTTTTTTACTATCAATAATACAGTATTTTATGTAATTATATATATTTGTTATTATTTTTAAAAGCATATATTTATATAAAGTACCTTTGTGGTCCGCTGAATATACGTAAATTTCCAATTTGGCCCATTAGGAAAAAAGGTTGGACAATCCTGGTATAAATATTTGCGGGAAACGGTAAAAGAACCGAATGGCTTTGACGTAAGGTAACGACAGCTTTACTTTTCCGGTTTAAGTTACGGGTTAAATTATGTTCTTCGTACCCAAACCTGTTCCGTTTCCGCATCGGACAGGTTGCAGACATAGTAAAATATAATATAGAAAATCGCCCCGTCTCTAATGCAGATTCTGTTTTAGACGGTTTACTGTATCATTTAAAATTCAAATTAATCAGAGATACAAAAAAGATAATGAAAATATTATAATTTATTTCTTATTTAATCTTGAAAACTTATTTTAAATCAATTGTATAGGTCACAGTTAAGATTTCTTTTCCGAGAATTTCCTTTAAACTCATTGAAATTATATTTTACAGAAAAATTGTTCAATTTTAATTTTCGGTAAATTTGTCCAAATTTTGACTATTTTGTTTTGTATTTGCCAACGCTATAACAAAATAAAGAATAATTACAAAATGCATATTGTCAATATATTGATTTCAATAACTTTCTATTAACAATGCTTTCGACATGCGACTATTTCTATCTTATACATTTCGCAACGGAAGTGTCGAAATTCTTTATGATACTTTACGAAGGGAAGATATTTATTTGTAAGAACACTTACCAGAGAAACGTAAATCGAAAAGAACTTCATGAGAGTCGCGCGCTAAAACTCCTGACGAAAGAATAATCTGGTTCTTTTATTCTCGGGTTTTTTTTTATCTTTGCTTACGTCTTTATCGAAAATTAAACAGAATGAATCATCCGAAATATAGTTGATCGATTCTTTTGTAGGTATGATCGATCTGTGCAGCGATCACTAACTAGACAATGTTATGTATTGGTGACAACAAATGTGAGAATCGTCAATTATATGCAAATTAGAACAATTCTTTGACTTGTAATTCAAGTTCCATTAAATTTGACTTTATATAAATTAGGAAAATAACGATACGTCGATCCGAAATGCCTTTCATCCTTCTTTCTGGACGTTAAAATTCTCTTACATCAGAATATATTGAAAGATGTTTAATCAAATTCTAATTTACGTTTTTATTCCAATAAGAAAAATAAATTTAGAAGAATTCTTAGTTTAAAACAATTAAATTTTCATCAAAAATTTGTTTAAAGTGTTTTCAGAGAGAAATAAATATTGAGGAAGTGACATTTACAAACTTTACTTGGTACAAAAATTCTGGAGACGATCTTTACGGTTCCAACTGTAAATAACACTTACGTATGTAAAGCCTCGACGTTTATGACTATTAAGAAGTAAGAAAGATTATTACTTATCCTTTTTTAGGACGTATTTTAAGTGACAAGAGGACAAGAATTTCATGTGTGATAAACGAAAGCTAAGGCTGGCATTCTTTATCTTCGTCTGATGATCAAAATATAAGATTTTTGATACAAAGAAAGGATTTGGACTCAAATTTAATCCAAATCCTAAGAATTGCTCGAGTCGAATATTCCCGAAATATTCAAAATTGTGGTAAATCACTGTTATTCTGCCAGAGATGAGAGTATAGTATGAAAATAACGAGTCATTAATTAATTAAAATTGTTTACTTCCTCTTTATTATCCCTTTAGTTAATGTAAAATATTAACATTTTTACAATAAAATTAATACCAAGTATTTCCTATATTAGAACGAATGATTTTAACTAATGAAGTCAGGAAATTGAAATTATATTTTAGACTCTACAAGTGTTTCAAATATCAATTTAACAATAATTAATTATCGATAAGTATATTTAAATTTACATACAGATAGCGGGTAATGAAATATTTGTATTTGCAGAGTGCATTCGTTGTGGTCTTATATTTATTTTCGATCTGTCAGACCATGAAGTTAATTATAATATGACAACGTTATACTAAAAACATAGATAGATTGTAGCTCGATTAGAAAAGTTACAAACAAAAGTCAGCCCAAAATTTTGATTAAAATTTGTGAAACTTAATAAAATGACAATTATGAAAATAAAAGTTTTATTATATTTTTTAAATCTGATTTTCGCTTGATAAAATTAATTTTATCTAAACTATAGACTAATAATTATTTACTGGCGATAACGTTGTTTATTTTGCGAAGAAATAATGTTATCACCAATATTTTGTGGAGATGACTAAAAGCAAAAGTTGCGAATGGACTAAAAAATAAAAAATCTACGGGCTTTCAAAAAATCCATTCAAGTTTGTTAGAAAGTGCCATTACTTTCCCGGCTCTGTTAACAGAGGGAAAGTATGGCGATCGGTCAAAACATGACCCTCCAAAGATTTTTATATTTTTGTACTCAGGGGACCTTGAAACGTCCAGAAATGAAAAAAAAACCCTCGGGAGTTATTTTGGCGTCAGTTTCGTTTAATATCTCAAGATGGGTAAAGATTAAGAAACGAAATTTCGCAAAAACATACGTATATAAGGTGCATTTACGCAATTAAATTTTGATGATTAAACATTGAGTGGAGAGATAGAGTTTGATCATGTGTCATAACTCGAGTAGACTCATAGTTAATAACGATTTTACTCGTTATTAACATTTACAGCTTTTTATCAAACTCGCTACTACGCTCAAAATTAAACTTTTTGCCATTTGATATTATTCAAAATATATAAAAAAAAATTTAAACAGAAATGATAACATTTAGAAAATTCCATTCCATCTACAAACGAAATGCTCGCGGAAATTAATATGGTCGAGTGGCGCCGTAGCTTAGTTGGTTAAAGCGCCTGTCTTGTAAACAGGAGATCGCGAGTTCGAATCTCGTCGGTGCCTTGATTTGTTTTGTTGTTTCGATTTTTGCTTTTTCGATTTCGAACGACTTCGTTGTAACTGGAATGTGGTTGACATCACACTTTGCATTTTGTAGTTTATTTCAGTAGTCTGATTCCAGACTGTGGATAAAAGCTATTTTTGACATTTCATTCGTAGTTCCTTACAAACTTCAATACGGTAAAATTGTTCTCTGTTCGTAGATACTATTTCAAACCGAGGTGGGAAAGCTCTGTGAATCGATACACAAAGTGATCGCGTTACGGTAATGGTCAATTATAATTGTACGATTTTAACGAAATGCAATTAATGTTAGATAAATTATACTTCATACACTAAGACCTCGTGTAGCGCTTAGGATGCGTTTTTAGATGACGAAGCGTTAAATGAAACAGCGTTAAACGAGGTCAATTTAACATATAGAAAATAGAGAAAGGTGAACATGCACTCAAAAATAAAGAAATTTTAACTTAATTTTATATTAATTTGCATAATAATATATGTTACATAACACGTAAACATATGCACAGAAATATAAAGTTTATTTTTGTAATGAGGGTCCTGGCTTTTCTGAAATTCTTGACTTTTTCTGCGATGAACTTATCTAGTGTCATTTGTCGCTTTCTTTTTCTTTCGTCAAGCAAATATTGGTAGCAGGAAATCGCATCCAAAACTCTTTGTCTTGCTTTTACACTTTCAAAATCTGGAACATTCGCAACAATTTGATCAACGATTTCGGTGTCATTACCAAACTTTTATTAAGGAAATCTGTAGCCAGCTAGTTCTTTGAGTTCATCGTTTTCAGAATCACTAT